TCTCTTCCTCTCCCTTCTTCCTTCTCTCTCTCTTTCTTTTCTTATAATAGTGTTTCCAAATTCTAGGTTAGTTTTTACTATAGGCACTTGAATGCCTGGTGGACCAGTAGTGATTCGGTAAATGAATATGGACTTCCAGTTTGCTTAAGGATAAATGCTGTATTCTGATGTGTGAAGCAAAATAACACTGTGTGATTTAAAAAAAAAAAAAAACCTTCTGGAGAGACTAGAAATGTGGGGAAAGAGTAGGCTACTTTCTGTTATATCCAGTAGAATTCTGCTGAAGATCTCTACAAGTCTATACATGCCAGTCTATGAATTAATGTTTCTGAAAACCCTAAATTTTTGTTCTTGTCTGCTCTTTCCATGGGATTCTTGATGTTAGGACTATAACACTACAGGATTCCAGGTGATGCCAGGGTTGTTAGAAATTGAATTCCATTAGACATAGGCCAGAGCGAGGCATGGGGACATTGCAGGCAGCAGGTGATCATATAGAAGAGAAGGGCCAGAGGACAAAGGTAGAAATAATTTTGATAGGGATGAGAATGTGAGCCACAGATGATGGGGGGAACTGAACTTTGTAAGTCACTCCATGTCAAAGGACAATGCAGCTGGAGGTAGAGTGGTACCTTAATCAGTCAGGATTCTATTTCAAATTTCTTCAGCGAAAATAAAAGCAAGGTTCTGAAGCGGATGTTCCAAGCACATGCCTTTAGTGCCAGAATTTGGGAGGGATAGGAAGGCAGATAACTGTCAGTTCAGCCTGGTCTACATATCTGATTTTGAGATGGCCAGAGAGATGGCATATAAACCCTTGTAGCTCCCCCATCCCACAGAAAAGGGTCAAAGTACAAGAGGTAGTGCTGAATAGTGGGTGGTTACCAAATATGTCTGCAGGAAATGCAGGTGTTGGCTAGGCTGATGGGCAGGCTTCTACATATTGAGTTGAGAGATTTTCCTATGGCAGTCAGCTGAGGCCTGGTTGAGGTGGTTACATGGTCTATGGAAACTACATCAAGACTAGGAAACATCTGAAGACATTTTAAGTGGAAACTTCCCATACATGTCCCCAGCCTTGACTTCTCAGTAACGTGGCATTCATAGACCACTGTTGCCTTGATGTCTCTACTTGACTGTCTAATAGGCATGACCTGACCCAAACAGAATTGACTTCTTTCCATACCTATGCTGTTTTTTCTCCCGGTGTTTCACGTGTTAGTCAGAGGTCCCATTTCTGACAAGGTTTTGGGCAAAATTCTCAGCTCAGCTTGATGCCTCATTTCCTTTTCTCCGTAATTCTCACATTTCAGCATGATCTAGTCCCATTACTTCCAAAAGGCATGCTGCACTCATCCACTGCTCTCAGTTTCCTCTTTCCCCATGCTAGCCTCATCTGTTCATTTGTTCTCGGATCTTCTAAGCTCATCTCAGAATTGTTCCTCCTGCTGCTATATACATCCCTCACCATGTGTTTTCCACACAGAGGAGGTGGGAATTTTGAAGGTATATAAATCAGATGCTTAAAATTATATCCCACTACATTATAGAAAAGTCTTCAGTATATCTCAGATGATTCATAAGACTCTGTCCTATCTTGTATTTCTGGTATCACACCCTAATGTTCTTATTCTCACTTTCCATGGTTTGGCTTAATGTCTACTTCTACATTTCTAGCATGGGTAGCACCCACACAAGCCCTTCCATTTGTCTATTATGACATTTCCTCTTCCATCATATTTTAAAAGAAATGCCTATTAGACTATTTGTGAACAAGGGCTTTTAAATAGAGTGTCTCCCAGGGATGGTGTAGGGGGAGAGAGGGGGGAGAGAATATATATATATATATATATATATATATATATATATATATATATATATATATACTCACCAAGCCTACACAAGGCTGTAGGTTATATCTTCAGTACCCAAATAATTAATTAATAAAATTTCCTGGTAAATGAGGAATGCATTATATTCTGGTAGGACAGATTAAGTAACTTCCGGTTAAAGCATCCATTCTCAATCTGTGGGTCACAGCCCCCTTGAGGGTCTCATATCAGATATTTGCATTATCATAAATAACAGTAAAATCACAGTTATGAAATAGCAAGAAAGTAATTTTATAGTTGAAGGTCACCACATGAGATGTATTAAAGGATCACAGCATTAGGAAGGTGGAAAAACACTTTGTTAAAGACATAAAGTATCAGAAAGAATTTCCACAGTACCAAAAAGAAAAAAAAAATGTGATGTCTTGAGAAGTGAAAAAGATATACAAAAAAAAAAGAAAAAGAAAATAGCATTGATTCAGAGTACCAGAAGACCCAAAAGATTTTTATTTATTTCATTTTTCTTATTTCTTTTTACCAGGAGCAGCCAGCTTGACAGTAAGTTCTGGACAATCATTAGGAGAGACACAAATGACCACAGTGCTATCTACCATAGTTTCAGATCCAACTAGAACGTCCTTTAGCCCTCCAATGACAACTGGACCTTTATCACCACAAGGAGGACAAACAAGTAGAGAAACTGTTACTGGAACTGGAACAACTGGTGTGTCAATGACAAATACAGAGAGATCTGCACAATCTCTTGCACAATCAGCAACAACTGGACCATCATCTCAAGCACCAGAAACAACTAAGGTATCAGTAACTGGCACAGAGTCGACTGCCCCATCAACTGGAGGAACCTTGACAAAGGCAACATCAGTTGGAGAAACAACAATAAGAGCATCATCATCTAAAGTAGCAGTGACATCTGGACAAACATCTGGGCCTACAGCAGCAACTAGTCCATCAGTCTCAGTGTCAGGAACTACAGAGACAAAGGATAAATTAACTATGACATCAGGCCAAACACCTAGGGTTACTTTAACATCTAGCAAGTCACCTGAAGTGAGTAAGGCATCCACACAATCATTTGGGAGCACAGTGCTATCTACTGTAGTTTCAAATCCAACTAGAATATCCTCTCACCCTACAACAACAACTGTAACATCATCAGCAGAAGGACAACAAACAAGTACAGAAACTGTTACTGGAACAGGAACAACTGGTGCGTCTACTGTAGTTACAGAAAAATCTGAACAATCTCATGCACAATCATCAACATCTGGACCATCAACTCCAGCAGCAGAAACTACTAAGGTATCAGCAACTGCCAAAGAGTCAACCAGACCATCAACTGAAGGAACCTCTACAAAGGCAACATCAGTTGGAGAAACAGCAACAACTACTTTACCACCTAGAGAGGCAGTGACATCTGGACAAACAGCTGGGCCCACAGCAGCAACAAATAGTCCATCAGTTTCAATGTCAGGCAGTACGGTGGCAAATGGTCCTGTGACTGTGACATCTGTCAAGACTCCTAGGGTTACTTTAACATCTGGCCAGTCACCTGAAGTGAAGGAGACATCCACACCATCAGCTGGGAGCACAGTGCTATCTACTGTAGTTTTAGATGCAACTAGAATATCCTCTCACCCTACGACAACAACTGGACATTCATCAGCACAAAGACAACAAACAAGTACAGAAACTGTTACTGAAACAGGAACAACTGGTGTGTCTACTGTAGTTACAGAGAGACCTGCACAATCTCTTGCACAGTCAGCAACAACTGGACCAGCATCTCAAGCACCAGAAACAACTAAGGTATCAGTAATTGGCACAGAGTCGACTGTCCCATCAACTGGAGGAACCTTGACAAAGGCATCAGTTGAAGAAACAACATCTACATCACGACCTAGAGAGGCAGTGACAACTGGACAAACAGCTGGACCCACAGCAACAAATAGTCCATCAGTCTCAGTGTCAGGAAACACAGTGCCAAATACTAAATTGGCTGTGACATCTGCTCTGACAACCAGTGTGACTGTAACTTCTAGGCAATCACCTGAAGTGAGTAAGACATCCACACAATCAGCTGGGAGCACAGTGCTATCTACTGTAGTTTCAAATCCAACTAGAACATCCTCTCAAACTATGACAACAACTGGACCTTCATCAGCAGAAATACAACAAACAAGTACAGAAACTGTTTCTAGAACAGGAACAACTGGTGTGTCTACTACAATTACAGAGAGATCTGCACAATCTCTTGCACAATCACCAACATCTGGACCATCATCTCAAGCACCAGAAACAACTAAGGTATCAGTCACTGGCACAGAGTCGACTGTCCCATCAACTGGAGGCACCATGACAAATGCAATATCAGTTGAAGAATCAACAACTACATTGCCACCTAGAGAGGCAGTGACATCTGGACAAACAACAGGGTCTACAGCAGCAACTAGTCCATCAGTTTCAGTGTCACAAAATATGGTGACAAATGATAAATTGGTTGTAACATCTGGCCAGACAACCAGTGTGACTGTAACTTCTAGGCAATCACCTGAAGTGAGGGAGACATCCACACAATCCACTGAGAGCACAGTGCTATCTACTGTAGTTTCAGATGCAACTAGAATATCCTCACACCCAACAACAACAACTGGACCTTCATCAGCAGAAGGACAACAAACAAGTACAGAAACTATTACTGAAAC